TTGGTTCTACATGCAGCTATATCTTCATCGAATGTGTACGGGTGAGAAGGTGTCGATGGTAATAACTCTTTGTTAAGTAATTCCAGAGCAATTGCGGCATTAAGAGACTTACGCATCTCGTCGTTAGTACTTGGTTGAATTCCACGGATTTTGCATTCGTAAGTGAGTTCATCTTGCACAAGTAGATAAAGTCTTAGTTTAAGAGCCATAGTGAAGCACCAATGTCGAAGAGAAATACGATGGTAAAAGTAGCAAGGTTTCAGAACTTAAATCCTTCGCGGATTTATTAATAAAAATATATATAAAAGCAAGTAAAGCGGCTAGATGTCGTGAAGCGATAACTAACCGAAACAAAAAATGGTAAAGCGGTTGTCAAATAACCGAAACAAAAATATGTAAAAACCCGATATATAAAAAAAAATAAATATACCCCCCCAAATATTATATGTTTATATATAACCTTAACGATATAGCAAGAAAAAAAAATTATGTATATAGGAAAAGCAGATTTCGTTTAAATAAAGGTAATATAAATAGGCAATGAGCCAACGTGAAAAAAAAAAAACCTTTAAAGGAAAAGGAAAAAAAAATATGTATATATGTAAACAACCTGTCGTTTACTGGATTACTAAGTGCGCAAAATATTATAAAATTGTAACAAAATACTGAAAATAAAACAAAAATGATCTACAGGTATGGTAACAACAACATAAACTACGTTGGGCGCCAATGTAACAACTTTAAATGCCAAACTATTATGGCAAATAAGTTGCGGACGACCACAGACACCTTAATAAATTATAGATTTAATAATCCCTTTTAAATGGTTCACTAGGCCAGCGTAGCTCTGTTGCGGAGAAGGGCTGGGTTGTATATATATATATATTCGTCTGTGGGCGCCACCAAGTTAAAATAAAATAGCTAGTGACCAAGGGCTGCTGTCTATAACGTGGAATAGGAAGTTATTAGAAAAAAATTAAAACATTGTAATATAAATACTATACCAATTTATTAAGTAGAAAAAACCAAAATTTGTTATAAGTTTGTTGTTGTTACCACATAAACCATTAAATGTACGTATTAAAAGTACGAAAACAATCAGTACATTGTTACAATAATATATATATAATAATAAAAAAAATATATAATAATATTCAATAATATGAAAATATAAAATCCAAGGATCTATGACACAAATGAGTTTAAATATTTCTTTCGAAAGAATTATCCTTACAATTTAAAATATAACAAAATGAGTACTGGGTTAGCAACCAGAAGGTTGCAACCTGGTCTGGATAAACCTGGTTATACGAGCAGGTTTATCGACACCAGTTCGCAAAACATCTAGCAAAACTAGTCAATACTAAGAATTGAAATTAATATAAATATAAAGGGCTGTTGGCCCGTATCGAAACCCTCCAGCAACTGGTTATACGGCAGAAGCTGGATAGCTTCGGCACAGAACAACACAACCCAATATTAAAAACATATATGTATAAAAATTGTATATAAAAAGTTGTTGAAACGTTGAAGACGATGGTGCAAAATGGTGAAACGTTGAAGACGAAAAGAATTTATGTATAAAAACCTGATGGTACAAAATGTTGAAACGTTGAAGACGGGTGTGATCCAAAAATGAAAGGTGTAATCCAGAAGGTCGACAAGGTGATGGAAACCTGGTTGGCACGGCGAGAAGGCCTCGTGGATGAAACAATGCGGCTGACAAGCCTGCTCTACGGTGCTCAGCTCTGAGGTGCTCAGCTCTGACGTGGTCAGCTCTGATGTGCTCAGCTCTGCTGTGCTCAGCTCTGCTCTCCCTCTAATTTCTCTGCTCTAAAAAGCAGGACGATTTAGGAAACATCCCCACAAATACGAGGAAACAAAAAAAAAGAAAAAGAATATATACCTGTGTGTACTTCGGTGGTGGCTAAGATTGGCTCCAGCGTACAGCTGTAGTGTAAAACAAATACACCTTTGATTCTTCTAAATAAGCTTTACTCCAATATAAAATTGATGGCTTTCACTACTAAATATTACTTAAAATCAAATTGTGAAAAATTATAAGCCACGTGCTTTTACGAAGAATATAACACTTTGCCGTTCCGCCGACGTTCACGGTAATAGGGAAATTAGAAGAAGAGGTCGATAAAGGGTGTCTACAGGTATTTATAGATTAACACCGGAAATACTATAAAAAATGATATGATAAAATAATATAATAAAAACAACCGACGTAAAGCACCAAACGTCAAAAGTTTGGTGGACATGGTTGCCAACCAGGGAAAACTAAATACACCAATAACGAATCAATATAATCGACCAGAAAGTTAAATTAAAGATAAAGTAACGAAAGATATTATTTGCCAACGTATCCACTAATAAGTACATTTTCATTGTAACAATAAAGATTAAAATTAAAGAAAGGAAATAAACGAAACCCATACCAACCCAGGATAATAAAAGTAACTAGCAAACCCCTGAAAAGTCAACGAACCGCAATTTAAACGAAATCAGCTGATTAATACAAAACTATAAAAATAATGATAATGTAAAACCAATTGGGTACGTTAAAGTTCAAATGCTATAAACAGTAATATTTAAAATATTAAAACATATTATATTTTCAGGTTCTAAAATGACAAAAAGAATATAGGTTAAACATTATTACTGGATTAAAAATAATAAAAGTCAATAATGTTTTAAAGTAAGAAAAAACCGTTACAAGACACTTAACTGTTATGTTATGGCTATTTGTATACTCAATAGCAGGTAGTTTTAAGTTTGGCAGTGTGTTTTAAGAATCGCAACGAAGCAGTGGTTGTTTCGTATTTATTTGTACCATTTAAATCTATGTATTCATTGTTTTTACTTTTAATAAAGATATATTAATTTACTTTAAACAACTCAATTGAAGCTTTTATTTAATACTGATAAAACTTCAATAGGTTATGGGCCAGCACGTTTCCGCAGCGCCAATTAGTATATCGATATCGTTTGAATTTAAACAGTTCCTTTTGTTTTTTCAGTCAGTACTTTTGCGTGTTACATTAGCAGTTCATCATGAGTGATAGAGAAGTATTGGAACTAATAAAACTTGATGGCTCAAATTATTCCATGTGGAAATTTGGAGTTAAGTTTTTGTTGCAAGCAAAAGAGCTTACAGCTTTTGTATTGGGAACAGAAAACGAGCCCGACAAAGAGACAAAATTAAATTATTGGAAAACATGGATGAAGCAATCATAGCAAGCAGCGGTGATCCTTCTGAGCTCGGTAGAAAAGAAACCGCACCCAAATTTAATTAATTGCACAACTGCTCAAGAAATTTGGGATAAAATAGTGTTGTACGGCGATATAACTGTTGATGCCAAGCAAAATGCATGGTAGCAGTTATATGTTATTAAAATGACAGACTGCGAGTCCAAATTGAGAAGTTGGAGAGCATTTGCAAAAATCTTGAGGATTCTGGGGATAAGCCTTCTGAAACGGCGGTTGTATCAAAGCAGCTTTCCGCACAAATTTTCAGTCTTTAGATTAGCATGGCACTGTACGCCAGAGGCAGAGCGAAAGAAGGTTAACTTAATAGCAAGACTTATTAAGGAAGATAAGAGATTATCTGAAAGTGAAGAAAATGTGACTGCGCTCGCATTTCAAGTACAGAAATCTACACTCGGAAAGAAAGAGCAAAGAAAATATAATAAACAGGAAATTAAAAAAATAACAAAATGCGTTTTTTGTAAAGAAAAGGGGCATTGGGTTCGCGAGTGTCCGAAGAAAAAGAACGAGGCAGAAGGAGCGTCGGCGTATGTTTCTGATGTCACCGCATCTTTTTTCAGTACATGTGGAAGATAGTGAAGTTTGGATCGCTGATTCAGGTGCTAGCATGCATATATGCTATAGCATTTAAGAAAGAGTACTTTACTTATCTGGAAGCACCGGCAGAAGAATATTTGGTCAAAGTAGCTGATAAAAAATATTAAAAGCGTGCGGCAAAGGTACAATTATAATTCAGGAAAATATACAGGGTCGGTTACAAGAACGCGAGCTCTGTAATGTGCTTTTTGTGCCTGATTTAAAAAGGAATTTGTTTTCTATCGAAACAATAAGCAATAATAATTTTTCTTTTCACGCTTATAAGGAAAAGTGTGAAATTCGCGAGCGTAAGCTATCGTCAGTCGGGGTTCGATACAAAAACTTGTACCGTATGCTTTTTGAAGTTAAAGTTCCTGTTTATTATCATTTTGAGATCCAGAGTGGTACTCGCTACAACATTAATAAAAACCATTTTTATTGGCGCCCCTTTAAGAGGCTGCAGCTCCCTTAGGGGCCATTTACCGACCTATGTTTATAAGAAGATTTCTTCCTAGTTTTGTCATTAGAAACCTCGTGTATAGTGTATAGTATTGCACACTATTTTCGGTACACCAGTAAATAAAATTTGATGGGTCCAAAGTTTATAAATAATGAATTTTTACTCCCTAGGCCGTAAAAAATATTTTCCCATGTTAATTCAATGGAAAATTACATTAAGTAACCACTAAGTATTAATATGAAGGACTTTTAACAAGCGTCTTATTTTATTTTCCTACAACTATTAAACATGTGTCATTAAAAAATATATAGTCAATTTTTTTAAACAATATTTATTCTATTTTTATATTGCAGCTAAAATATTTTAGGGTACTCTTTTCCCCCAAGAATCTAATTGGTTTTGTCTAAACCTTATGATTTAGAGGGCGTTACGATAAAAACATTTTAGGAAAAACGAACCCCTTAACATCTATAGGTGCAAATTTCTTCTCTTTTAAAATAATTTATAATTTTACAATAAAGTTTGGTTCCGGCAAATTTGCATGTATTTCGAAAAATAATCCTTTTAAAATGCTGTGTTTATTAGTGAAATTTTTACAGTTTTTGGATGTTGTTTTCGATCTGTTACTTATTAGTTATTTATGTATGTAGTTTTTATTTTAAAAAAATGTTATACCAATTTTTATTTTTAGTTTTTTACACGACGTAACAGAAAGAAACAAACTAGTGCGTCTAAACGGTGATGGTTCAATAACTTATGGCATGAGATTTACTACTACACTGGCCTGTATGATGGATCTACATTATTATCCGCTGGATTCGCAAAATTGCACGGTCGAGATAGAAAGTTGTAAGTTTGCTTTAGTAGAGAAAATTCCTTAGTATACAATAAGTAGTAATATATATATATATATGTATATATATATATATACATATGTATGATTTTAAGTATATTAAATAAATAATTAAGTGATAGACAAGGATCATTTTTTATTGTATTTTAATATATTTATATGGGGCATCCTATTCTAAATTGATGACGGTTTCACTTTATCAGCCTCTTATTTTTTTCTTATTTTAGGTCCATTGAAAAAAGGACACCTGATTTTAAATTTTATTAACCACTTTAAGAGATATGCTTTTTTTTAAGCCCTGGCTTATCGTGGCCATACGATTCTAACCATTTTCTCTCAATGGGTTTGAATGAATAAATATATATTTTTTTAAATTTCCATTTAAAGGCAAAAAACATAATTTTATCAAAACAAAGTTAATAATAAAAAAAAATTTTTAAGCGTACAACAATTTTCATATTATAACACTCATATGCCGTCCAAACGTAGAATTATTATTCAACGCCATGCAATAAAAAAATACATTTAAATTATAATTTGTATACATAGGAAGAGTGCTTCCGTCTACCGCGTTTAGTATGTAATCAGCAAAGAAAATGTAAAATTACAGGTCACTGTAGGATAAATTCATATACATAATCTATAATATAACATGTCAAACGTAAAACTCGATAATTTTAATTTTAGTAAGTACAGAAATATTAAATGCTTAACAAAACAGTATATACAACACGGCGGAAAAAGCATATTAACTGCATAGCTCAGATCTGCAGCCTCGGCTAAGGCCTCGGCAGCGAACACAGCACAGCTGTAATGAGCGATTTCTCCTCCTGTATAATGATAAGGTGAAACCTATTTGAGTTATGATTGGAAATTACCAAAAATAATTTAAAAAGGGATTCTTGTGTAGGTTCTGTTATTTTAAAAAGTTTCATAGGTACAGATTTGTATTTGAAAGCAGAAAAAACGGGACTTGCTTTTGTATACTTTAATATAAAAAGAATTCATGCTACTGTGCGACTTTTTCTTACCATGTCTCAAATTAAATATAAATTTTATACTACTTTGTAAATTTGTAATTTTTTGTCAATTCTACCGTTCGAATTTTTCTCAATAAATTTTAATTTTAAAATACTTTGCGAATTTTGTTTCAAAAAATGGTGAATGCGCAGGGATTAACAGAATTTTGGTGTCTTAACTTATAGTCTTTATTTATTTCTTTCAAAATTTTGAATTCTGACATACATTAAGAAAATAATAGTATATTCTGTAACAAAATTGGAATACGGCATATTCCGCTCGAGTGAAAAGTTTGTTACACGAGCCGAAGGCGAGTTTGACGGTTTCACGAGAGGGAAATATGCAATTCCAAACGTGTTTCAGACTATACTTTTTCTACGTTTCCAAAAAAACCATAGAAAAATATTTTAATTGGAAGAAAGTGAGGTTGGATCTGTCTAAAATTTGTTAGATATTAAAAACAGAGATGTCGCCATCAGTGTTTATTCTGTCATCCGAATATATATATATATATATATATATATATATATATAGGCTTTTTTTCGCGTAATCACCACGAAATACTATAGTTAAAAAAGTTATGACGTCACGGTTAATTCGTTTAACCACGGTTATTGATTGTCATTTCAAATGTAACTTTTGATGTTTATAAACTTTATAACATAGAATTTCCACCTTGGAAATTCTGATTAAAATCCATGATGTACCACTTGTAGCCAATCACGCCTAATATAAAAAAGTGTGGTTACCGGTTTAAATATTTTTTGACATTAAAACAACATTTTTGACAGATTAAAATAGAGAAATATACACATTAGAAAGAGATAGACTATTAACCAGATTGAATAACCACTGGTTATTAACCAGCTTGCCGAGGTAGTTTTATGGTCTAGTAAATGTGACGTCATAGTTAAGATTTTGGAACGCACTCTAAACGCGAAAATACATTAACTATTAACCAAGGTTAAGTTTAATAACCATAGTATTTCATAGTATTTACTCGAAAAAATGCCTTATATAGGTATATATATCATTCATATATGTCATTCCATATACAGGGTAAGTCATTTAACTTGAAACTTTAAAATATCTTAGTTAGTAGGCATTTTACGAAAAAATGTATAAAATAAAAATTAAATGATTCGAGGGGGGAAATCAATCAGTACTAAAATTGGTCCTCATACTCTCCTCCTTATAGGGGGAACAGGGGGTAACTTTAAAATTTCCAATGGAACACCCTATTTTTTATTGCAGATTCGGATCGTTCGACTAAAAATAGATTTTGTCTAAAACATTTTTTCATATTTGTAATAAAGGCACTGTAATGAAAAAAAAATCAATTTTGTTCGATTTTTGTTCTTAGTGTTACAGAATGAAATATTCTATCAACGGAGGACAGAATAAACACTAGTGCCGTCTCTGTGTTTATTATATAACAAATTTTGGACCGATCCAACCTCACTTTCTTGCAATTTAATTATTTTTCTGTTTTTTTTTTGGAAACGTACAAAAATTATAGCCTGAAACACATATGGAATGGCATATTTCTCTCTCGTGAAACCGTCAGACTCGCCTTTCGCTCGTATGAAACTTTTCACTTGAGAGGAATATGCCGTATTCCAAACTTGTAACAGAATATACTAGTTTCGAAAAATCGAGAAACGTAAGTTATAAACGATTTTGACATGTTTGTACATTATTATAGAAGGAAGTACATTTAGAAACAAAAAAATGATAAGGTATTTTTTGAAAAGTTACAGGCAATAAAAATAAAACATGAAAATAAATAAATTTTAAAAAATGAGTGCCCAAATTGCAATATATTATGTACAGGGTGTCCCAAAAGTCAACGATATCCTTTGAAGGACTATTAGCTCATGACTAATCAGAATATCGAAACATGACCTTAGTAAAAAATCATTAGTTTTTAAGATATTGGCATTTTTATGAATTTTGTGAAACTTGACACATAATAGTATATTCTGTAACAAGTTTGGAATACACCATATTCCGCTCGAGTGAAGAGTTTGTCACACGAGCCGATGGCGAGTTTGACGGTTTCACGAGAGCGGAATATGCAATTCCAAACGTGTTTCAGACTACACTTTTTTTACGTTTCCAAAAAATACCATAGAAAAATAATTTATGTGGAAGAAAGTGAGGTTGGATCGGTCTAAAATTTGTTAGATATTTAAAACAGAGATGTCGCCACGAGTTTATTCTGTCATCCGATGATAGAATATTTCATTCTGTAACACTTTACGGAATATATGTCATTCCATAGATAAAAGTGATATTAGAACGGTCAAATTCCGTAATAGGAGTAGAAAAAATCAGTTTTTCGGGTGCCACAACTACAACATTTTATATTTTTAGATTATATTTTATTTTGCGTAACCCTGAATAGGACAGCTATTAATAACAATTCAAAATTAAATTAATAGTAGATTTTGTAGCTGTGGCACTCGAAAAGCTGATCAGGTGTCAAGTTTTACAAAATTCATAAAAATGACTATATCTCAAAAACTATTTTTTTTTAATAAGGTCATATTTCGATTTTTTGCTTAGTTGGTGTGCCAAAAAAAGTCGATATATTGTTTTTTACTCTCAGCCCAAAATATCATAGGATATGCCCAACCAAAAATCCTGTTAGAAGGGGAGCTCGGAATTTTAATTTTAAGAGGTCCTCTATCAAACTTTAATTTTTCCCATTTAAATAACATAGAAAAAAGGTTTTTTAATGAAAAGATCTTTTTAAGCATTACATTTTTGACAAAAAATTCTATTGAGTCAAATGTCAATCGTCAATATTTAAGTTTCTTAAAATTAAAATTTGATTTTTTTTTAAATTTTGCGTTTTATGCATTTTGCAGCTAAACTATTGGAGATAGAATAAACAATTAAATGGCAATTTTGTAGTTCGTTCGACGCCCTGTAAAAAAGTTATCAGCAAGTTTTCTGTATCAATAATTATTATAACTATTATTATAATAGCAACAAAGTTACAGACTCACAAAGTTCTGTTTTTCTAATTTTTTGCTTTTATCAATTGAACTATCTATGATTTGTTTTCGTTTGTATCCTACCAAGACTTATTTGTTTTGATTAGTCCTACTCCCCAAATTTAATCATTTTTTTTTATTTTACCTAGGTGTGCGAGTTTAATTTATTTTAAGAATCAATATGTGTTTTGGTTTTATTACACAGGCCCTCAAAATAAGTGGTCTGCGACATGAATTGACCATGATAATTTCATGTATTTTCACCCGCTGAAAGTGAATGTAAACTTAGTTTAGCCTCTATATGTCTGGATTTTTTTATAGTGTGTCCACGGTTCGGCTTGCAAGATTAAAAACTTTTTATTATGCGTTTAACGACAACAAAATCATACCATCACACCCTTACTTGTCTAAAAAATAGGAAATGGAAATGTTTTAACAAAACACGATGTTCAAAAATTAAGAAAACATGAAAATTCTTCAAAACAAAAGTACTTTGCATTTTACTTGTATTGATCACAGTTTTTTATATAAAATAAAAATTGTGACATTTTACAGTAACTGTTTTGAGTGTGCCATCTCGTTGAGACGTGACTGGATAAAGAGCTGTGATTAGTTGGTTTTGATTAGACCTCTTGTTTTTGGGTGTCCTTTTAAATAGGAAATATTGATTTTCGACCCAGAGGCGGATTTACAAACTTGCCGCCTAGATTTTAAATTTAATTATACAGGTTTATTAAAAAAAAATTGTGCACTTGCCAATTGGTGCAATTGTCAATTGGTGCCACCATTTTTTGGCCTCCTAAACTGGAAAATCATAATAAAAGATGTTTTCGAGATATTGATTTTTTTATTTTTTTTCGTCTGTTTTTTGGTCAAAAATAAGTATGCAATAATTACCTTTTGTCCAAAAATAAAAAATTCAAATCATTGAAATTTGACCTTACTAGAATTATCTATATAGTTTGTAAATTCAAATCTTGTATAGGTATAGTGATTTTTGAGTTTAGCAGGCCAAAATACATTTAAAAAAATAGTGTCCTAGAATGTACATAATATGGCTCTAAACCATTCTTATAATAATAAATATTAAATTTAAAATCAATGAATTGTATTTGTTAAAAATTTCCTCGGAAATTCCCAAATTTTTGTCTGTGTAGGTATGCTATATATTTTTTACAAAGCGAAAAATATGTAAAAAATATGCAATACGAAAGTTATACAAACGTTTATTATAATAAAACAAAAAATACTCATAATACTTGTGGCCACAGAAAAAATGTCCGCCATAGACTATAGCCTAGGAACGATACTAATGCTAAGTTTAACTATAAACATAACGACGTAAAGTCGCAATTAATCCATACCACGAGAAGTTATTTCAGATATTTAAGACAAAATTAAAGCAGGTGGTTTTTGAGTCATCAAGCATTAATGTTTAAGAAACTCGACAACCCTGTGTTCTTACTCTACTGAATATCACACATCTAAGAAGGGTTGTTATGGAAACGTAATAAACAAGGCATCTAGTAGCTATGTAAACAACATAGTATTTTATGACAGTTTATGTCAAACAATTTAAACTTAAATAAATAAAACCTTATAAATTCTAACTTAAAAACGAAATGTCGAAAAAAATGTGTTTGTACTTAAATCAACATGGCATGACGTTAGTTCGCAATTTTCGGGACACCCTGTATATTTTTTGTTTATTTCGGTGAAATTATAAAACGCGCCTTAAGATATGTATAAACCCCGTGTTTTAAAACCTTACTTATACAGGGTGCACCAAGTATTGTTTTTTTTATTTAAAGCGCTAGAAGGTCGCTTAAATTAGAGCAAAGTTGCGTAATTACAAGTCTATTAAAATGGCATTTAAAATTAAAAAAAGAAAATCTGCGGTACTCAAATAATTAAAAAAAAACTGAAAACATGTCAAACCAAAAATCGTAATTCCTAAAGTTTTTGAAAAAAGTGAGAAAAGTTGCGTAATCATGATTACGCAACTTTTTTCTATTTTAACTGACCGTGGCTCTTCAAATATTCTCATAGAAGGATACTGGGTACACCCTGTATAATAGACCCGTATACATTTATCATAAAATTATAAAAATTAAAAACAAATGTGAGATTAATTGAATTTACAAAACGTGTTTAATATTGTGTGCTTAAAAAATAATATTTATATAATCCTACCAAAAACCTTTTTGTTTTATAGTACGCCCTAAAAGCGTTTATCTCGTATTTCAGATGGTTACACGGTAATGGACGTGGTGATGTACTGGAAAGAGACACCGGTAAGGGGCGTCGAAGAAGCCGAGCTTCCGCAGTTTACGATAATTGGCTACGAGACCAACGACAGAAAGGAAAAATTAGCCACAGGTACATACCTGTCTATCTCGCTCTCTACGCGTAGCTACGATACAGTGCACCCCAAAATTAAAAAAAAAAGTAAATGGTAACAGCAAAATTTTTATTTTAGGAATTTATCAAAGATTATCCCTTTCGTTTAAACTGCAAAGAAATATAGGATATTTTGTATTCCAAACGTATTTGCCGAGTATTTTGATTGTAATGCTTTCGTGGGTTTCGTTTTGGATTAATCATGAAGCTACTAGCGCAAGAGTGGCTCTTGGTAAGTTAAACATTTTTAATAGGTATTACAAATTTAATAATAAAAACGTAAAAGTATACAGCAAACAAGGTTAAAAAAACAATAAAAAATCATTCAATTTTTTTAGTTTCTTTAAGAAACTTTCTTGACCCATTAACCGGTAATATTCATAAGAAAAAATTGAACCCAACCTCGCCAAAGTTTTTTGTTTCTTGTTTATAAAACTTTGGCGAGGTGAAGGTTCTATTTTTTCTTATAAAGATTACCAGTAATGGGTCAAGAAAGTTTCTTAAAGAAACTAAGAAAATTGAATTTTTAGCCTAATGTTTAGCCCGGTTGGTCTAATTCTAGATTCCTTTAGGCCATATTAGTATCTGTGATACAATTGCTATATGCAGTCCCGGTTGTATAGTATGTACCGATTGCGGCAAAGGCCACGTCGTTTGACGGTGTGGATCGATCAGGTGATCACCTGATGTTCTTACATCTCGCCTCTGTTGGCTTACCAACCGAGCATATAAGCTCAGGGAGTCCTTTGTTTTGAGTGTGTTTCACTACACCAAGTTGCCCGACACTGATGAGACCCAATATATATCGAAACAGCTGTCTGTCGGTATTTGAAGTTGGTGGAACGCACACAAAACAAAAAACTTTGGCGAGGTGTAGGTTCAATTTTTTAAGTTTATGTGTAACCAAATATTTCATTCAACTAATTTTCATAGCGAAAAATCGGTCACTAATAATTTGTCAAATTCTACCAAATGAAATAGTCAAATTATTGGATTTAAATTAAAAAAAAATTGACCCAGCTGGAGTTTGAACTCGGGTCTCTCGGTTGTCAAAAGGATGTCTAATCGCTGGTTCTTTTATAAAAATTACTTATATTTGTCTATCACACCGAGAAAAATAATTTAAGACCATCTTTAAGATTCTTAATAACCTTATTTAAGATATCGCAGTAAAATAGGGGACATTAAGACCGTTTAAATACCATTAATAGATTCAATTTAATAACTATACTTTGTGACCATCAATAGGCAAACTTAATACAATTATCATAAGACCATCAAAAGTTTTTATATCGACCATTAATATATATCTTATAAGGGTTAATATATTATTTTAGGATCATCTTAATATCACTTAAATATCTTCTTATGACATCTTAATATGATCTCAAATTGGTAGGTACATATATGGCAAATAAATAATCTTATAATGGTAAATATATTATTTTATGATCATCTTAATTCCATCCTAATATCCTCTTATGCTATCTTAATATGATCCTAAATATATTTATTTGCCATAATAATATGCTATAGCTATCATATTAAGATGGCCTATTTACGGCAATAGTTTAATTTTATTATAAATGGAGCTGCACCATGGTATAAATAAACGAAAATAAATCTTAAAAGCATTATTTCTACTAAAAGTAAAGTCTTGAAAATAAAATAAAGCCCCAACGCGAAAAAATGCATTAAAAGGTTGGATTTTTATTTGAGTACTTGAACATAATTTTGGCATTCATTTTTATTTTATTTAAAAAAATCATTAACACCATTATTTTCATCAATTGGAGCACTCTAACCTAAATGTTTATAAAAAAATCAGAAAAATATATCGCAATTAGCATAAATTAATGCTTTTCTTATTTTTTTAGGAAATAAAATAGAGATAAATACCGAAATTATTTTTACTAGACGACCTTATTAGTGCATTTTCTGCGTTGGGACTTTATTTTCATTTTCAAGACTTCACCCAGGTAGCACACTGACGTTTATATGACGTTGAAATGACTTTGGCAACGTCATTTTAACGTCAGCATACGTCAGTGTGCTACCTGGGTACTTTCAGTAGAAATATTAATTAATAATACTTTTAAGGATTATTTCCATTTACCCTAAAAAGAAAGATAACAATTGAGCTTTAAAAAAATTAAACTATTTCAGCAGATTGGCCATCTTAAAATTATAACTTTATACATGTAGGTATAATTAAATAATAAATTAAGGAATCAAAGCCAATATTCTGACCTATTAAAAATCTTGGTAATCTTTCTCAAGCTGGTTTATTTATAAATATGGTACCTAATAATAATAAATTGTAAACATTTTACCAAAAATATATTTCAGATTTTACCAATATCCTATAAAATAAACTTCAAAGCATACATTTATAAAAGTATCATCAACATATTAAATACAGCATGAATTTTTTAAATGTTTAATGCAGGGACCCCGGAAACTAGAAAGAAATTGAACCTACCTTCAAATCCTTTAACAAAATCACCGAGCCCCCATTCAAGCAGAGTAACTTTGAAAGCCATTACTATGTTCTGTAAAATTACCGCAAAACAATTGTGAAGAAACGCCCTTTTTCTTCTATAAACGATTCAATATTATCCTCAATTTCCCGTTAACAAGTGAGAAATAATAAATGACGCTTCCACAGAGGACGCTGTTCTGTGCTATGGACGCTAGTTAAACGATTGGTCGATTCGAGTATAGTCGGAAAGCCGAATCTGTTAGTTAGGTAGATGAGTTTGTTAAGGCCATTATACAACTTCTTAAGGTCTTTAGATAATTTAAGGTGGTTCACAATCTTATGTTATGTGTTCACAATTGACTAGTAATGGTTATTAAGACAAGTTTTAATAAGGTCGTCTATTAACCATATTTAGTTATTTATCACTGGCATTAAAATAATTTTAAGAACAGCGACATATTAATCCGAGTTTATGGTGGTATTTAGATATTTTATGATTGTTAAAATATAAATATAGATGATCTATATTTTTTGTTTTAACACTTTATTAAAACGTATCTATTAGTCACCTTAATTCGTCTTCATGTCACAGATAGATAATTTGTACTGGTTATTAGATATATTTTGAACACTATGTAGATAATTTCATTAAGATAATTTAAGATTGGAATTTTCTCAGTGCAATATTGTTAATACTATTTTAAAGTTGAATATCTTTTTTGCGTTGCCGTTTTGAGATAAACCGCCCTCGGTGGTGTAGTAGTCAGCATTGCGGACTAAATGAGACCTTTCTTATAAACTCCGATAAATTTAAAATCAAGAATTTTCTGGTGAGACCTTTCTTATAAACTCCGATAAATTTAAAATCAAGAATTTCCTGGTGTACCGGCAAGACCGCCCGGGCGCTCACCGTAGCGGCGGAGTGGCCATCCTGGTACACAAGGACTTTCCACATACTAAACTTAACGATCTAAACTCAAGCATAGAACACCTAGCTGAGCTGGGAAAGTTATTTTGGAAAAGTATCTAGTTACTTTTCTAAGATACTTTAAACCAAATGACTTAGTTACCTCTGTTAACTAGATACTTTGAGTTAAAAGTAACTTTAGTTACAAGATACTTTAAAAAGTATCTAAGATACTTTTGACTATCTAAGATACTTTTAAGTAACTAAGATACTTTTGAGTAACTAAGTTACTTTTAAGCAGGGACCCGGTCCGGACCGTTTTTGGACAGAAAACCGCTATTTATTTGTGGACCGGCACCGTAACCGAACCCATAATATTTTTAAACGTATCTCTAGAAACCGAACCCGAACCCTTTAAATTTAGAAAGGTTTTTTTCTTAATTTCTTTTTGCAAAAATTAAAAAAAAATTGTTTCTATAAAATTAGTTTTTGCAAAAAAATATTGTAAATGTAAATTAAAATACCTTTATTGGAAAAATAAAGATGTCATATGTATACATATATATTATAAAATACACTGTAATTAATAAACCCCCACTACAAAATATCCTACCGACTGCGCCATGAAGTGCTGTACCTAATATACTTTTATCTACTCCTACATTAAAGAGCTGTGACTTTATGGTGTTTTAGTCACGGGCTGAAGTTAACAACAGTGGCTTTTGGGCATTTTAGTCACGGGCTGAAGTTAGCGTTATTATAAATTGCAAAAAAGTGAGGTTAAATTAGTCAAATGTCAAATATTTATAAATTAAAATTGGCTTTAAATTTTCATTTCTGTTCGTCGTAGATAAAGTATAGTATGCAACTCGTTTTATAAGAAGCTATCTTCATGGAGGGTCCCTTCTTCTTATAAAATATGATAATGTATTTGAAAAAAAAACAAGTTAATATAGAAAATTTATGTGTTGAAAAGTGTGTTGAAGGCTGTGCGGCTATGTTAGTGTATAAGAAGATAAAATACTGTGTTATTAGTGTTTACCGTCCTCCTGATGGAGATTTTAAGGTATTTCTTGACTCTATGTTTAGTAATATAAATGTTTGCTATAGATTGACACCAAATTTGTTTGTTTGTGGAGATCTAAATGTTAATTACCTAAAAGACACTCAGCAAAAACGACAACTTCTGGACTTGCTTAATAATTTTAATCTTAGATGTAGCAGTGATTTACCAACAAGAGAATTTATTGATAAAAAAGGCAAATATTGCGGATCATCTGACTATTATCTTTACATGTAAAGTAGAATAATATAGCCAAACAAATAATAAAAAATATGATCTTAAGCATCCAAAATATGTGTTTACAAAAACTAGGTTAGGTAAACTATGTAATTTTCTAATCGTATGTTCCTTTGATGATGTCTACAGCTCTGATATAAGTGTTGATGAGGTATTTAGTCGATTTATGGTCACCTTAAAGTGGGCTATTGACGTTAACTGCCTAGAATATGCAAAGAAAAATAGATATGTTATAAAGGGATAGGTCACAGATGAAATTAAAAAATATAGTGATGAGCTAAAAAAAACTATTTTGGTTGGACAAGGAAACCCAAAATGTTAATATAATTAATCAATACAAATACGAGAAAAAGAAATACAATAAGTTTTTACACGAAAATAAAAAGAAATATTACTCTGAAATAATAGAAAAATCATTAAATAAAACAAAACAGATTTGGAGTATTGTAAATACACAAATTGGGAGAAAAAAGGTTCAAAAAATATTGTTATTAAAAAAGATAACATTAAAATATCTGACTCTGGAAATATTGCTGATTGTTT